GGCGAAACCGGCCGGTCCGGTACCGGAACCGCCGGTCCGGGAACCGGAACCGGAACCGGTACCGGCCGGCATGGTATACTATCCGGTTACTCGGGGTGGCGGTACCGGAACCGGCGGTTCCGGAACCGGAACTGTACCGTGTCCACCCCTATCTGGCTCTTGCTGAATGGTAGGCTGATGTGTGTTCTTTGTGATCAAAAGGAAGAAAACACTGATCATTCGTTTTGGGATTGCCATTACACTAGGGATATTTGAGCTAGGAGTGCTGATTGGGTGGATTTACCAAATACCATTGATAGCTTAAAGCCTCTTAGCAATTATATGATGAGTATTGCTAACAATAAGGCTAGGAGAATAATGATTGCTGTTTGGGCTGCTACCTGCTACACTATTTGGAAAGCTAGAAATATCAAAGTGCATAAGAAGGGGATATGGAAGACTGAAGACTGCTGCAGATACAATTTGGAGCAGCGGACACGATATTATCAAAGTGCATAAGAAGGGGATATGGAAGACTGAAGACTGCTGCAGATACAATTCGGAGCAGCGGACACGAAATATCAAAGTGCATAAGAAGTGTTACAGTTGTTTTGTATCCACCAAGTAAGTGTGACATTTATAGATATATACCTCGATTGGAATAATTAAGGCTGTGACCATGTCTTTTACCTCTAATATCACTTATCACTGCTTATTCTTGCTCAATATATACAAACTCCAACTTCTTTCCATATAATTTTCCTGGATCTTTCTAAATCAAAACACAAATCCAAGCCTCTTTGCAACACAGGGCGGGGGCTTACCTCAGAACCTCTTTGAAATCTGACCCCAGAACCACACCCACGTGCAGATGGATGAATGCCATTCTGTGTGCTTCAAAAAACATGAATGAGTATATGCAAGAAAAATTAACCGATCAACTAAGTGAATCCATTATGTATAGACTTTTGAAATTGATCTTACGTTAGCTTTAAGTTCACAGGCCATGCTCTCATCAACCCTAAACTCTCCCAGATCAGAATAAACTGATTGCATTGCCTCATCTATGTGTCGACAATACCCTTCCACCTCAACGATCACATCACCCAAAGATAAAAATGAAACATTATCTGCAAAAGACTATGCCAGCTATTAAGAATATGAGATAGTTAAACATCAATATCAACCACACAATTCTACCTTGTTAATCCTTGTGCCACTCCCCCGTGTCCCAAAATAAGTGGCAAGAGGGAGTAATTAACAAAGTTTAAAATAGCATAAAAATAAAGAACACACCAAATGTATGTATTACATACCGTTAGATAGATAACAGGTTTGCATGAATGGGAATTGATTGTCTGGAGAATAATCAACCTTTTTGTATGTGCAGCTGGTACAAGGAGTCTTATCAAATACCTCCCCTTAAAAGGCATCTGGAGCAAGAACGAGTAAAACGCGGAAAAAACACGCACAGCATGAGTTGCGGAGCGCCTAGAGTCTTCTTTGGCCGATATCATCACCTGTGCTCAAGTTTAAAATGCATCACACAAAACCTGAACTCTAATACTAAAAATGATCATCCTACTTCAACTAGCACTAAGTGAAGATCAAGACATGGAGGGGTGCATCGGAACTATTAGCTTGATAGCTTCACAACAGGAAATCCACTCACATTCCCACCCCAAGACAAAAATGCACTGCAGCTAGGCCAAAACAATATTCACAACCAATAAGAAAAATCACTGATGCCACTTTCTACATATGCATTTACACCCTAAAGAAAATGGTATTGTCAGAAACTAAGCCTGAGGTTGTACAATCAAAGATTGCCAATGTCAAAAGTGATTTGAGGCTGAAACATGGTAAGAAACGACTCTTTTAGCTACATTTTCAGAGGAAACTTATTTAAAAATACACACATGTATACTTCCACCCATTCATTAAAATGACCTATATTAGGTCATCAACTTACCAGAAGTAGTCGGCTGTCATGATCGCTCAATTCACATTAAGGATAAGAGTCAAAAGACTGTTTGACCCATTCTTCCTAATTATCCCAGTAAGAATTCAAGAAATGTAGAATCAAATCAAGAGGAATCATAAAAGGAAAACATATCACAGATCTACAAATTTAAACTCTTGTAAGTTCCTAGGCACTCAAAAAAAGAGAGAGAACAAGAGTGTGACAAGAAAATATGCCAACCAAACATAATGGCACAAACGAAAATCAGACATCACTCAGATCTACAAAACTCTTGCTTTCTAATTACAGTCATTATAGAGAATTAAAATAGACAATATCTGAGAGAAAACCGAAACACATTAACCACACGTCAACACCCAAGCATAAAAAAATCAAAAGACAAGAATGAAACACAAAAAGATGACAGATAAAATTCTAATTTTACTTACAATTCCAATTCCATCTCCAGCTTCATAGAAATCAACGTCAACATTGTCCTTCTCATAAGATGGCTTCAGCATAAGATTGTAATGATCAATACAACCATCCCTCCGTGCAGGAATCATCATCCTGAAAATAATCCACCCTAGAAAATTTTCACGATCCCCAACAAATAAACCAAATTAGAGTTTTCCGAGATAAGAAAGATAACATTTGAATTTTACAAATCTTGAAACAAATGAACCTAATAATGGAAATAAGAAAAAAACTCCATCTGTTGCAACAGAATCAAAACACTTGATTTTTCACATTTGCCAATGCACAGATTAAATCATTAATATATTCAATTATGTTTAAGTAAAATATAAAAGATAGTCAGGTGTGTGTGTTTGTGAATAACATGCAGTTTGGACCGTTGTGATTATTTTGAAATTGTGGATGTGTGTGTGTATAAATATGTGTGTGTGTGTGTGTGTATCTCTGTGTCTGTGTAAGAAAAGCACAAAACAACAAGAGCCCAAGGAACAAACAAAAAGGGAAGAAAAGCATGGTAAAATAAAAGGCACTTAAAAAGATGTAAAAAGAAAGACCTCAAGCCTAAAAAGCACACAACGAAGAGAATACAACTACCGTCCCGGACAAAATGACTAACCAACAAGCCTAGCTCTAGATCTCCAAACGTTTCTATCTAAAGTCATATCCTTGGTGAGAACAAGAAGTCCTAAGTTCTGCTTAATAACCTCCTTCCAATTCTTTCTAGGTCTACCCCTTCCCCTAAACCCACCTACTATCGAAAGCCTTTCACATCTCCGCACTAGGGCCTCTTGTTCACGCTGCTTCACGTGACCGAATCATCTCAACCTACGCTCTCGTAGCTTATCCTCCACATCCATAGTGCTACTCCCACCCGTCATTTGCTCACACATCCACCGAAGCATATCAAACCTCATTTGCTCATACATCCACCGAAGCATACGCATCTCAGCCACATGGAGTTGATGAACATGGGCTGTTTTGAGTATGATCCATGGTCAATATGATATTTTGGAGATGTGCACTGATACTGTTCTAAGAATGCAATAACAAAAGAACTCAAAAAATAGACACTATTAACAGATTTTGTGTAACGCCCCGAAAATAGGCCTATCAGTATTAATTAATTAATAATTAATTAATTACTGAGAAGGACCCAAAAATAAATAAATTTTAAAATTTGTCAATAAATAATGAAAATTATATCAATGTGTAGAGTTTGACTGTCTGATCCCAATGGTTCAATCGGATTTCAATTTGGAGAAAGTTAGACCAAAAAGTGTACCCGATTGGGACCAAAATTAGTCCCAATCAGGGACTTACGTTTGCAGCCTGTAGAAATCGCCGCTCCCTCCACTGAGACGCCACAACAGTAGCAACCATGTCTTCATGCCATTGCTCCTTCCTATTTAAACCCCTCAAAACTTCACCATTTCTTCACCTTTCTCCTTCAAATAAACTCTGAGAGAAAGCTGTGAGTGTGGAGAACGAAGTTGTGCTGTCAATTTGGTGTGAAGTCGACGGAGCAAGCCACAATCCTTACCGGAAGTTTCGCCGGAAAATTTCCAAAACCTCCATTACGCTTCGAGGTAAGCCCGTAGATATATCTAGTGATTAGAATATTCGTATAGATCGTTTTTACGTTCATAAACGATCGTTTGGTTGAGTTTTTGTGTTTGACATACTTAAGAACCATGAATCA